GTATTCATTTTTTTGAAATTTGTTTTATATATAGCTTGTGGAATGACCTGCAGAAATTTTGCTGCAAAGATGGAGTGTGTAACTTCTACGATAACCAAGATGTGAACTGCTCGACTTCTGTAAGTTAAAACAGTGCTCCACTAATGGCTTAAGATGCCATGTCACATATTCTTTACTTATCTTTTCGTATCTTTCTGTCACTCTTTAGCTCACTACAGTTCAAATTATAGTCTACCAGTCTGGACTCAACATGTATAACCTGTATGCACCCTGTGCCGGAGGTGTTCAGCAGAGAGTCAGGTGAGCTTGGATCAGATATGTGGAGTAACTGTTCAATGTCATTTCATGTGAAGACGTTCCAGTGTCATTTTGTTCTGTGTTCTGAAACCAGCATTGAAAACGGCCAGTTTGTGATCCGAGACCTGGGCCACCACTTCGTCAACCATCCATGGTCCAAAGCACAGAACGAGGTAGAGAAACCAATTTATGTGCTGCTTTCGGACTACAAACTTCACTCAGAACGAAAACTAAAATTGTCACTCGCTCATTACTGCCCTCGTATTGTTTCAAACCTGTATGAGTTTGTTGTGCAACACAAAATTATGTTTTTAGCTATTCTGATGCTCATTTCCATACAATGGAAGTAATATTTTAGATTTTAATACACTGAATATATTCCCATTCACGGCAGTGTAATGATAATAGTAATGGCAACCAGGTGTGGTTTAAACAATATATATCTGCGCATGTGCAGCATGGGGGCAGATGCCCTGGGAGTGTGCGTGGTGGCAGCACGCCACAGTTGTAACCGCTAATAAATACCAACGTTGCCTTTCAACTGTAAAGCTGTTTTATTTAATGGACTCACAAGAACAGAACATGGTGTCAGAAGTGGCTTTTTGAAAGGAACGTATATGGTACGGAGCGGAGTATGAAAGTTGAGAAGAAAAGTTAAGAGTGTATGCACACGTGGATGACAAACACAGAAGATGGAAGGATTGCATCCGCCTCCGAAACTTCAACTTACCGGTAATGTTGCTGAGAATTGGAGACGATTCAAGCAACGATTTCTCTTGTACTTGTCTGCAATTGATGGAGATCGAAAAGTGGAAAAGATGAAAGTGTCATTGTTTCTTCATGTGGTGGGTGATGAAGCATTGGAGGTATATAATAATTTCACTTTTGAAGAAGGAGAGAGTTTGCGATTTCTCTCTCATTTTATTTGCATATTGAAATTATGACTTGTTAAACCCACACCACTGGTTCTTGCGTGTCTCGTAACCAAACACAAAACTCCAGTTTGAATATGCAAAAGTGTGTATGTGAATTTAAGAACATTGTATGGTTTTGAAACGACATGAGTATATACTGCCTAAAATTACATTTTTGGGTGAATGGTCTGTTTAAAGGGATACCTCACCCAAAACTGAAAATCGTCATTTACTGACACTCAAGCTGTTCCAAAACTAAGTGAGTTTCTTTCATCTGCTGAATACAAAGAAGACATTTTGAAGAATGTTGGTAACCAAACAGTTTCTAGTCCCCATTGACCTCCATATAACTTTTTTCCCATACTGTGGAAGTCAAGGGGGACCATCAATTGTGTGTTTACCAACGTTTTTCAAAATATTTTATTTTATGTTGCACACGAGAAAGAAACTCGTACAGGTTTGGAACAACTTGAGGCTGAGGAAATGATGACCGAATTTTCATTTTTGGGTGAACTGTTCCTTTAAGTACTATGAAGAACAAAGCTTTGTGTCTGGTGTGTGTTAGTAGGTCTTCTATGATTCATTTGTGCTTTGAGGGTTAATCCACATGAATTTTCTCGTTGAATCAGAAATTGCGAGGTGTGGTCTCCCTGTTCAAATCTTCAAGGCTCGATCCTCCGTGCACCAACTCTACTCCATCCACCCTGTACCTCAACAACAAGCTGGTGAAGTCTGCTCTCCACATCTCGCCCAATGCTTTGGACTGGATCATCTGCAGGTGCGTTGAGTGGATTTTAATAAAGCAAATGAGTTTGCGAATGAGTTTTGGACCTTCATTTGAAATTGTCCGGTTGTTTGTTGCAGCGCTGAAGTCAATCTGAACTACAAACGCCTGTTCATGGACGTGAAGAAACAGTACCTGAAGCTTCTTGGAGCACTAGTGAGTGATGGCAATTTAAACGGTTATGAATCAAATATTTACCAGCTTTTGTTGATTTCAATCACATCTTTTCAACAGAAATACCGTGTGCTGGTATATAATGGAGATGTTGACATGGCCTGCAACTTCTTAGGAGACGAGTGGTTTGTGGAGTCACTCCAGCAAGAGGTGAGTTGTTTCCCACTGATATTGTGTGTCCTATTTTCTTTTAGTCTTGGTCTGGGGACTCTGGTCTGGTCAGTAAAATAATAGTTTTTTTATTTGATTTGATTTTTTCCCCCAAATTAAACAATCTGTGCACCCTGACCCCTAGTCAGTAAGATTGAAACTTATTTTATTTTATGGAATAAATAATAATAATCATTAATAATAATAATAATAAATAATTATACTTTATTAAATATTAAAGTATTATTGTTAAACATTTTAATGTTTTATGTATTTCATTTAATAATTAATTAAAACATTAACAATTAATAATAATTATTATTATTTCATATTTTATTATATATTTAACTTATTTAATGTATATATTTTATTTCATTATTTTTATTATTATTTTATCAATAAAATATTTATCAATGGAACTATTATGATTATTATTTATTTTATAACAATAATATTATTAATAATAAATAATTAACATTTTAATATTTTCACACATTCCATTTATTTAATAATAATGTATTATTATTATTATTATTTCATATTTTATTATGTTTTACTTATTTAATTTAATTAGTATCATCATCAGTTATTTTTATTTTTTTATAAAAAAAAAATTCTTTTGAGAAAGCTCTTGCCATTTTTGTGCAATTATGTATCAGACAGTCCGTGTTCTTTGCGGTCTGAGACTACCTTTTTTCCTGTAGCAGAAGAAACCCTTTCTCTTCACCTTCTCCAACAGGTGCAGGTGCAGCGCAGACCTTGGATTTATTTCAATGGTGAAACTCAGCAGGTCGGCGGCTTTGTCAAGGAATTCACCAACATCGCTTTCCTCACAGTGAAGGTGAGACTGCAATAAAACCAATCACATGGTACACTTTCTCTGGTGACTGTGATGAAAAGCTAAATTACTTAGACAGCATCTTAGGCAGCTTACTATAGAGATTTAGAATGGAGATTTACACACACTTCCATTGTAAACTAGTTTTACTGTAGTATATGCATCTGTGACCTCTGTCTAATATGTGAGCTTTTTTTTTTCTCAAAGTAAACTTGTTATTTTTTTTAATTATATTTATCTATGTCCTCCACAGGGTTCGGGTCACATGGTTCCCACTGACAAACCCATAGCGGCCTTCACAATGTTCAGTCGCTTCATCACCAAACAACCTTACTAGAACACACTCAGGGATTTTTAGTCTTTTTAAATCTGAATTTGCACTGTCACACTGGTAAAATGTTTCCGATTTATGGACCACTGACTGTTTTCTGTCACTTAGCCACTCAAAACTGCTCGTGTATTTCTGTAGTTTAGTTGCCAGCCTGTGAACTAGATTAAGTCATGCATCCTGTACATAATGATGTTTCATCGTATGTGTTTGAGGGATTCACAGACGTCTGTTCCTCCATCCATCTTTGATTATGGTTGATTTAGTAGCGAGAGATGCTGAGTGTTTACGAATTGAAATCCAATCAGCTGTGAGTGGATGCTGACTGTGTATTGCACAATTTTAGCTTATATCTTCTCTATTAAACATGAAACTGTAGCTTTTATTAATCATCACAGATATTTTGTCATCCCTTCAGGTGTTGATGCCTCACTGTGCTAATTGTAGACTTTTGTTGAGGTGTCATCGAGTTGCTTGTTTGATTGTGGTTTAAAGTGATGTGTATATGATCTCTGGTACTTTTTGTGCTCATAAGGGAATAATTTTTGTGCCTTTTATCC